TTTTCCGAGCTAAAGGATTATTGATGTGCTGAATTGTGTTAATTAGAAGAAATAAAGTCAAAACCCTGAGAAAAGGGGCCTGAAACAGTCTCTCAGGGTGGGGGGTCAAGCCTTCCTGGGTAGTAGGGACAGAACAGCAGTCTGCAGGGTTTATATCATTGTTAAGAGTATATCAGCAACAGAAGAAATTCTAAAAACTCCTTATTGCTGTTAGCGATGAATTTTTCCCCTGATGACTTTAGCTTCCTGTATCAATCTTCTACACTTTATAACTTCTAATTTATATTGACTGTTATTTCCCCGTTTTTCCTTTTGTTATATATTGCTTTTTTAATTTCTATTTGCAGTCTTTACATTGTCACTGAACCGGGATGGGTTTTTAGCCAAAGCTGTCCTCTACTGCTTTTTGGCCATTTAATAAATTCTTCCTAAAGCACTCTCAGAACTCTCAAATTTCATTTATATTTTTCTGTCTACATTTTTCTACCCAGTTAACTTTGCTCATCGTTTTCCTCTGCTTTGGGAAATTAGCCCTCTTGAAGCACAAAGTATATAATGACCATTTGGGAGTGGCCTTCATTTTTGCCTGTATTGAATGTAATCCAGGCATGGTCCCTGGACAGTGGCAACCACCAACTTCCAGTCCAATGATTAATTCATCATCTTTATCTGTCATAATGAGGTTCAAAATGGTGAACTTTTTGTTGGAAAGTCATCCTCTGTTGACCCAGGCTGGATATGAATCAGTAACATAGCTATGAAAAGCTCCGGTTCAAATTATAATCATGCCCCTGTGTTCTTTGCAACAAGCTGGGCCTCAATCAGCAACAAAGTCCCCAGATTCCTTTTCCACTAGAGGAGGCAGGATGGAAGTTCTGTGGCAGAATCAAGTCATTTTAAGAATGAAGGCTTATGGAATGAAACCTGACAGTGAATATTGCAGTCAGCACAGCAGACACTTTGTTACTTATCCAATGCAATTCATTCCATGCTACACCCACATTTTCAAAGGGCTGCAGATTTTTGTGTTGTCCTGGATCATGATCATTATTCAAAACTAACATTCCATGGCAATTAATGGAGCTGCTCATACCGCTTACAGCAAGTGTTGCCAGCTCCCTGGAAGCTCCAGCACCAGCAGCCAGCTCTGTGTTCTCTCTGCATGGTTGGAAGATTTTCTTCCCACTTGGCTGTTTCAGGAAGCATGCAATGCCCTCTAGTGGCACCAGTTTGCACAGGCACTATCACAGCCCAGCATCCTATTTTACATTCTCCTTTCAAAGTAGGATAACAATGGTGAACAGCGAGCAAGGGAAGTAAGAGCCAGATGGTGTTCTCAAGCCCTGGCCTGAGTTGTGAAGAGGATGTAGAGGAGCCTTGCTGCAGCAGAAGCCTGTGACTCAGCCAAAATTCTACCTGTGGAACTGGGAAAGAGCGTCCTGACGTTGCAAAGAGCAGTTATGCCACCTCTTGCTGCATGTGCTCCCTGCTGCACTGGCTCTACTCTGCTGCCAAACCCCTCCCTGGGAGGATCCAACCCCACCCTTGTGAGAAACTCACCAGCTGCAGTTCAAGGATGAAACGCTCTTGGCAGATAAAGGGATGTAAATAAAAGCAGCTGCTCCAGTCAGAGCGGCACTCACAGTGACCAAAGGAGAGGCAAAATGGGGACAGCTGTAATGTGGCAGGGCTGGGAGCAGTGCAGAGAAGCGACATGCAGAGCGCAGGGGAGATGAGTTCCATCATGTTGCATAACTGACCTACCCAGCCCAGACAAGCCTCCACAGCTGCTGCCCTCGGAGATTCCACAAGCTTGGGGGTGGTCCAGCTATGGAGGCATCTCCCACGCCCGAGGTGGTGGGGCTGTGGGGAGCTGCACCACATGGGGAGGCTCTGGGCCTTGCTCTGCTCCCACTCACATTGGTGTGCATGAGAGCACAGAGAGAAAGAAGAATCAGGTCCTGCCACTACCCAGAGCCTAGGGAATGAGGCCGGGGGAGGGGATAGACACATCCTCCGGGAGATGAGTTCTTTCCTGACCACCATCTCAGGGGGGAAGATTTATAAATGGGGCCATAGAGGTTGAGGTCTCACTAGCTGACAGTGCCACTCAAAGAGGCATTTGGGGCTAAAGATTCACCCCTCCTCTAAAAAGTAGCAAGTGGGGAGGTTGGAGGGTCCTGGCTAGGGACCGGGGAGTAAGCAGCCTAGAGTTGCCAATTTGGGTTGGCTGTATTCCTGAAGATTTCATCACATGAGGTAGCCTTTAATTAAAGATTAATCTTTAATTCCTGGAGACTCCAGAACAATCCTGGAGGGTTGGCAACTCTAAACCAGCTGGGCTCTAGGTCTGCAGGCGTAGGAGTTGCAGGTGTGGGTGGAGACTGGGGAGATTGAGCCCCTTGAAAAGGGTGCGGTAGATCAGATGGGCACCTGCCCCCTGAGTTCTGTGTAGGAGCTGAAAGGGATGAACAACCCCTCCCCAGTTGCCTCTTCCTGTCCCTGGAACAGCTGGCAAGCCCAAGTCCACTCAATAGCTGCCAGAACTCCCAATGACTTCTTCAATGGGGCCAGGATTTCCCTGCTGGAGTGGGGAATGCTCCGAGTTGGGATAGACTCTCCTAGTTTATTTTAGTGACAGTATGAACATAGTTCCTATTAATGCTTCTCACAAGGAAAGAAATGAATATGTGTCTTATCCTGCCTTCACCTTCCACAGAGCAATAGTGAAGTCCCTATTGGATTTTATGGAGTCTCTGGCTCTTCTCCCTTTCCAGAGTTAAAACTCTGCTTGGGGTAAGATGTGTTATATATACACATTTAATTTCCTTTGTTGTTGATTGAGGTTTAGGGGCATAAAGAGGTATCAGTGGCAGCATCAGGCTTTCCCAAATGGAGCTCTAGTTCAGGGCTTCAGCTCTGTGTTGAAAACCCCCAGGGCAACTGCTTCTCCCCCCAGACGCTACTTGGAAGAAGTGTGCACATCTCTGTGTGTCTTACTGCCCCTCAGACATTCAAATTCTTTTACATGAACATGGGCTTGGTTTGCTCCCAGCCACGAGGTACCATGGAGCTGGTTTCACTCTGTATCTCTGGTTTAAACCAAGCAACCCACTTTTTATCCTGTTACATTTGGGAAGTGACAACAACATTTTCGAATGATTGAAATACTCCACTCATCTGCCTTTAACAGGGCATTGGGAAGGAAGCCTGGCTCATTCAGACTGTGGGGATGTTGCCAATCCTACACATTCAAAAATCATATGTCAGGCCCCAAAATCTCATGAGATTATTCTTTAAAAATCATGAGATTTTTAAAGAATAATCAATGCTAGGTTCTTTCTATTGACGTTGTGATTTTTGAGCCTTCTGGGTTTGTGTTTTCAAGTTTTTCTCTGCCATCACAAGGGCTGTTGCTATTGATTAGCATCGTTTCCTAGAGTTATGTTGGACCCCATGGCTGCAGATATCGTTATCAACTCCGATAGGAAGAGCTATTTTTTCACTGAGCAAACCTTTGCTTTCCTGAAAATGACCATATGGAGCCTATACCAGCCCTTGAGCAAACAGTGGAGTCCCCCCTTGGCAAATCAGGACTTCACAAACTTTCATAAATAGGGGCCAGGGAACTTCTGCTTTCCTTGGGGCGTACGGAGCAACATCAAAGGTAAGTTGCACTTTCATTTCTTTCTTACAGATGTAGACTTCTGCTGTTCCAACTAATTTTCTGGAGATCAGATTTTTCTCCACCAGACAGTATCTAAGGCCAAATCTTCAGCTTAGGTAAACCAGCCAATTAACAGTCGTTGAGGAGATATATGTTTTCTGGATTATAGTACTTCCCTATAGGCCCTGATCCTGACCTCCTTACTTCAGTGGAAGTTTTGTACTGAAAAGTTAGGTCGGTATATTTACAGCACTCAGGGTGTGTGTGTGAGAAATTCACACCCCTGAGTGCTACAGCTATGATGACTCAATCCCCGGGGTTAGGTCAACAAAAGAATTCTTCTGTCACCCTAGCTACTGCTGTGCAGAGAGGTGGATTTCCTACAGTGATGGAAAAACCCCTTCCGTCGCTGTAGGAAGCTGCTCCACTACAGTAGCACAGCTGCAGCACCATAGCTGTGCCATTGTAGCACCCGTAGCCTAGGCATGGCGTGAATAAAGAGAGTAGAAAAGGGCGTGTAGCAGCATTTCTCTTATATTTACAAACACCTTGGGTGAAATCCTAGCCCCATCGAAGTCAATAGCAAAATTCCCATTGATTCAATGGAGCCAAGACTTCACCCTTTATGTGTAAGAACCACGTGTACCATCTAGTGTCTTGGGACACCAATCAAAGGGCCAACACAAGGTGGTGGCAAAACAGTGGTGATCTTCTACTGAAGGTACCACACAATTGTCTGGATGGAAGGGTGCACGGGGAGGGAGCTCTCTTATAGAGGTGTCGAAAGCAATGACCTTTGAATGAGCGTGTGAGATATTTTAACGGGAGCATGGGGAATCATTCCCCTGACAGCTGTGTAGGTGGAAGTGACAGTGCTGGCATAGGGTGCTGGGGGGTATGGCTGGGTTTACTGGAGTCGGTGCATCAGGATTGGCTCCATGAATTTCAATGGGCATTTCACCTGTGTAGTATGTTCAGGGAATGACCCTGTGTTAATCCAGTGGCACAGGTGAACTGAGAACTGCACGGAAGTATGAGCAGCCCCAGGGAAGGATCCTGCAGCATCAGCCAGCACTCCCCCTCCCACCCTCATCCCTCTGCCAAACAATCGAGCCTTTCTCTCGGGCTGAGTGACATTGGGAAGATGAATCCAGGGAGTCTCAAGGGCAAATGTTGGTGAGGGCGAACTCCAAGGAAGGGGGAATCTCAGGGACTGCTTTCAAGATTGTTACCTGGCACAGGTAACATCGCTGCATGGCACAGTGACTGGGGGCAGGCGAGGCAGTTCTTACTGTAACTAACCTCTCTGCCAATCCTTTGAGGCTTTGCTTCCCTTCCTCCCTGCAGGATGGGGGCCATGAGGCCAGCACTGGCCTTGCTGTCCCTGGCCTACGTGCTGCGCACAGCCGCCACCCTGAGAATCTGCGCTTTCAACATCAGGACTTTTGGAGACAGCAAGCTGTCCAATGAGACCATTGCAGGCATCATCGTGAACGTGAGTGCTGGGGGGTTGGGGAGAGGTCCCACATACCAGCAGTTCTTGGGAGCTGGGGGTGCCCAGGATTCTATCAAACAGCTGGCCCAGGGGCTCTCAGAAGTGTGTTTTCTGTGGGCCTGGAGAGTATGCTATCACTTGGGCCGAAGGCTACTTAGAAACCCAACTGAAAGGGCAGTGGTGAAGGGCCAAATGCTGGGGTTGTTTTTCTGCATACTCCAGCCTGATTGGCTAAGACATGGTAAAGCTGGTTAGTGGCTCCTCCATGGTGGTTATGCCCTAGACCTCTCGGTTACAAGTGGAGACAGCCTATCTGAGCCCTGCCCAGAAACCCCTGTGGGGAGACACTTTCCAGCCACACTGTGCCCTATAACACTGAGAAGTGAAAGCAAGGTCCTGGATAGATAAATAGATTGATCAATCATCTATCTGTAAGGGTAGAGTGACCAGATGTCCCATTTTTTGGGACTTTTTCTTATATAGGCACCTATTACCCCCCACCCCATTTTTTCACATTTGCTGTCTGGTCACCCTATGTAAGGGGACTGTTATCCCCTTACTAACACTCAGTGGGGGTGTTTTGGTTGGCTAGCTCCCAGCACTAAAAAGGGAAGGGTCGATGGGAAATCAGGACCCTGAGACTGACAGTCCCCAGGAACAATGGGGAGAGGCCAATGGTCCAGGTCAGCCTGATTGACAGGGTGGGCAGGCTAATCAGGGAGTCAGGAGGCCAGGGGAATCCCATCCTCTATGTGAGCTGGAATTGCCTGGGTCAGAGAGTGGGGCCGAGCTAAGGGGAGAGCAGGGGCTCAAGTTGAGCTGGGGAGCAGAGCTGTGCCAGCCAGAGGGGCCAGAAAAGCAGCCCGGGAAGCAGAGTTACAGAAGCAGCCCACAGAGCAGACCTGTGCTGGGGGCAGAGCTGCAGCAACCAGAGCCAGAGGGGCCAGAGAAGCAGCCCTGGGAGCTGGAGGCAGAGCACCAGCAGTGCTGAGGCAGAGTGGAGCTAGAGCTGAGGCTGGAGCAGTCCGGAGCCGAATGTGGTGAGCAGCTGGGGAGAGCACTGGGGACCCTGGGCAGTGGGGCCAACACAGGGAGATGCCCCCAGCCAAGAGGCGGGGGCGATGCTGGGAAGAAGGGTCCTGCCACCTAAAGCCTGAGGGCGTGTGGCCACCACCAGAGCAAGTGTCCGACCCGCAACATCCCTGCAGCACAGCCAGGGCTTGAGAAGGAGGCCTGGGACTTGTGAGAAACAGACTGAACTTCCCTTACATTCCAGAGACGCTGGTTGTGATGCCCCCGTGCCACAGAGCAGGGTGACATGTTTTCCTCTAACCTTTCCCATTTTTTTCCTTATAATTGATTGCTGTTTAATAAACTGTATTTACTTTGAACTGTATGCAATGATCAGTGGGTCAGGGAAGCATCCAGTGCAGAGAGCACCCCAGAGTGGGAACACCCTAGCCCCTGCCCTAAGTGACCACAACAAAGGTTGGGGGATCAAGACCCCCAGGAATTCTGGGCCCAGCCTTGTTGGGGTTACGAGGACTCTAACACACAGGAGAGTGGAAGCGGAGCCCTCGAGGTCAGGCAGGCCTCTGGGTAAAGGAAGTGGGAGCGAAGACTCAGATCCTTTCGCTAGCCCACTTCACTGGGGTAATGTATAAGCCAGGAAAGATCCCTACAATAGCGGGACCATTCCCCTGCTTACATATCTATCTGGGACCTTGGTTTCACTTCAGTGTTATAGGGGACCGTGTGGCTGATGACTGCCAGAAACTGGGATGGATCACTCAATAATTACCCTGTTCTGTTCATTCCCTCTGAAGCATCTGGCACCAGGATATGGGGCTAGATGGACCATTATCTCTATCTATCTATCACCACTTCAGATTCCAGTGTTTTTAGAGACAGACAGAGGGTAACCCTGGCAGCCTGGTTGGCATTCCCCATGACAGTGAAACTCATCCTCTGCAATCACTGCTGGGTTGGTCTCTGCTCTGTTAGGATCCTGCTGGCTGATTTCGAACCCTTCTGGAACAGCTGCAGTCTGAAAGCTGCCATTTCCTCCTGTTTTCCTCTGTTTCCCCATCTAACTCACCCCAGGGCTCACCTCCTTCCCCCCAGCTCATGCACTGCAGCAGAAGAGAGGTAAATACCCAGCTCAGCTGGTGATTGAAGTGGCATGTCAGCCCTGGGGACACCACCCTTCTGGTGGCTGGCTGCAGCCTGGGATTTTGCTGGGTGTTCTCACTGATTTTCACAGTGTTTGTGCATCTCTAAGGGAAGCTGGGGAGAAAGGTGAGGGGTGTTAGGCACTGCACACACAGCCTGCACCAGGCTCAGCTTCACAGCACGGCGCTTTGTGTTTCCCCCAGATCGTGCAGACATACGACATCGCTGTGATGCAGGAGGTCCGTGACTCTGATCAGAGTGCCATCAGGAAACTGATGGACCAGCTCAACAGGTGCTTTCCAAACCTACATGGAAGGGGGGGAGGGAGGAGCCTAAAACATTGCTGTGGTCTGGAGTGTTTTAGAGCAGGTATAAACAAGGCCCCTTCGGGTGCAACACCCAGCCAGCCACACAGGGAAGGCTCCATTGCTGCCCGCAGCAGCTTAGATGAAGGGAGTGCTGGAGCTGTGGCTCTGCAGGTGGTTCTGGCATAACTGACTCAGTGACAGTGTCATGGGGAGCATCACTCACCGCTGGTCCAGCACCTCCTCCTGGTCACTCTGAGGATTAGCTCAAGGCCAACACCCCCATCCATGGTCTGCACCCCTTCACTTCAGCCACAGTCCACCTGCAACCCCTCTTGCAGCATCAGGTACCACAGCATCTTCTTTGTGGCTCAGCCCTCCAGCCATATCACTATCTGGGTTCCCCCTTTCCGGAAGAGGTTTACCTCCTCAATAGTCTGCCACTTCCCCAGTGGTGAGTGGAGGGACCCAGGCCCACACTCTGCTCTGGGTCCCAGCCCAGGGACCCTCCAAACCACAGTCACTTACTGCATTCCTTTGCCTCTACTATCACTACATTTCCCTGGGCCACTTCCCTGCAGCCACAGCCCCTTCCTCAGTCTCAGCAGCCTATCCGGAGCTCCTTCTCTTCTCCCCAGGTTCCTGCCTGCCTGCACTGCTGTGTCCAAGGTGCTACCAGGTTGCAGCAAACTCTAGACACAGTTCTCCCTCCTCAGGTTCCAGTCAGCTACTGACCCTGCTCTGCTCTGAGGCTCTTTTATATGGGCCTGCCAGTCCCTGACTGGCCACTCCTCGCAACCCCTCTCCTATTGGCTGCTTTTCACGCAGCATCCCTAGGGCTCTGTTAACCCCTTAACTGGCCAGTCTGGGGCGAACACCACATCACAGACACCTTCATGGGCCTCTGGAGCTTTTCACCACCAAGAGGCACATGCATGAGACGGGGCCCGGGGCATCCCTGCCTGGTGCCACACGCCGCCATTCTCACAAAGCGAGCATGACACGGGGTACAGTGGTACCAGGGTGGCACATTTCAGGGCAATAATCTTATATACAAAAGACAGCACAAACAGAGGAGCACAGAACTCCCTGAGGACATCAGCAAGGTGCAGATATGGAGCAGGGCATGGTGCAGCCATTTACACCAGTGCAAAGTGACTGTATACACTGATTCTGATCTCATGTACTCAGGTATAAATGAGGGGTAACTCCATTACAGCCAATGGAGGCAATCCAGTGTGAAACCGGTGTGAGGTCAGAACTGGACTCTACCATGTGGGTGTGAATTGGTGACCAGGGACAGGGGCCACCAACCCCTCAGGAGAAGCTTGTCAAAGGGGCGGAGAGGGTTGGAATGGGCTTGGGAAGTACAGCGGACAGATCTACAGCCTCAGGCCGGGGTAATATGACACCAGCAAGGTCTGATTCTGTTGGTGGTCGTATGAGAGCTGAGGCCACCTGCAGATGTCCCTGACGTGGAGGGGATCACAGGCGCTCAGGACCTCTGTGGTGGAGGGGTTCCCAGAAGACCTCTTCCACTCGGCTTCCCAAGAACTCAGTTCAACTCCATTCCTGCCACTCAGGTCTCTTTGTTGGGCCTAAAGCGAAGCTATGCTGAGTTGATCAGACTCAAGTGAAAGGGGTGAGGATGGGGCATACCAGTACCACCCATCCAAAGTGACCCAGCAACCTTCTTTTTTATAGACATGTACACATGCCATTGCATCACCCGTTTGGGGATAGGTGTGCTCCCTTTGCGGGACCCAATCCCTGTACAGCATGCACTGTCCTTGCACAACATTCTCTTTGCCTCAGCTCACCTTCCAAGCTTCGCTTACCCATTGTTATCTTGTCCTTTGTCAGTTGTTCCCTGAGGGTCCCCCCTTACTTTAGCCAGCACCAACAGTCTGTTTCCAGCCTGCTGCTCCACTTACCTCCCTAATCCTGTCTCCCAAGAAATAAGGCCTCACCCATGTCCAATTACTCATGTCAAGCCAGCCTACATATTGAAGGGGCCACATGGGAAAGATGCTCCCTGAGGCACCCCCCACTCCCTGAGGCACCCCCCCCTCCAAGCCTGGCTTCCTGGAACAGAGTGGCAAGGGGCCTGCATGGAGGGAGATGTCTCAGCCGTAAAGCAGGCAGGGTCATTCCTACGCTGGCTGGGAAATCAGCTGGGGGTGGGACGGGAATGGTGGGAGGTGGTGCAGAGCAGGGAGATGTGCTGGACGTGTGCACGGCCCTCCCTGCTCCGGCATGGGCCTCACTGCTGGCTTCTCTGACGCCCCCACTCTAGGGCATCTCTGCAGCCATACAGCTACGTGGTCAGCGAGCCCCTGGGCCGGACCTCCTACAAGGAGCAGTACCTCTTTATCTACAGGTAAGGATCCAGCAAACAGTCAGAGCTAGTGACAATACTAGGTGTTTTCACCTCAGGTGATGTCCAGGGCATCCCCCACGCTCTTGCGTCTCCTGCCCAGCCACTGCTGCTCTCTGCATGCAGGCCCCTGGGCTAGGGTTGCCAACTTGGTAATATTTAAAAAATGAAACCTCCCCAGCCCTGCCCCTTCCACTGAGACCACACCCTGCCCCATCTCTTCCCCTGAGGCCCCACCTCTGCCATGCCTCTTCCCCAAGGCCCCGCCCCTTCCATGGCTCTTTCCCCTGATGCCCTGCCCCTGTCCACTCCTCTTCCACCCTCCCTCCAGTCACTCCGCTCGCTGCTTTTCCCCTCCCACCCCTCTACCCGGGTCAGGAGGGACTCACTTGCTTTGCTGGTGCTTGGAGCTGCAGCCACCTAATGCAGGTAGGAGGTGGCCCTGGCTAAATAGGGGCTGATGTGGGTGATGACTTGGCGCCTATCCGGCCTGCAGTAACCAGACATTGGGTGTCCGGTCAGTAGATCTGACCGGATTCTGTCAGGTCCCCTTTTCAACCGGACTTTCCGACAGAAAACCGGGCACCTGGCCACCTACCCTGGGTGCACCAGGGCCCATCCCAGAGTGGAACCACGTGACTGTGTGTGGTCATTCCATCTCTCCTCCTGGCAGGACGGATATGGTGTCAGTGGTGGACAGTTACTACTATGATGATGGCTGTGAGCCCTGCGGGAGCGACACCTTCAGCAGGGAGCCCTTCATCGTGAAGTTCTCCTCCCCCTACACAGGTAAGCGGGGCCCAGGGATCTCTCTGCCCTATGGCACTGGGAGCAGCAGCACCCCAGGCCATCCTGCAGCTAGCTAGAGAAACTCCTGCTCCCCCACACGCTGATCCCTCCCGCCAGGGAACAAAGAACATTACCATGGAGAGTTTGGCAAAGTCTTTGGGAATGATGCTTCAACTCAGAGACAGGCCTAGATCCAAATAGGGGGAGCGTGGGGCTGGATCCGGGCCTGTGGACTTATTCTGACTGGTATGTAGGCAGCCTGACCTAGTAGTCGGAGCAGCATCGGGCATCAGAGCCAATCTGATACCAGGAGGTCAACATCTGCAACAGGTCCAGAGGGCAAACCAAAGTCTGGGGTCAGGCAGGGCCAGGTTACCAGGAGCTCATTAGCAGGTAGCAGAAGCAGATATGGCAGGGAAAGCAGCCCTGAGCAGGAAGATCCTGGCTGCATGGGCAGTTTCCTGTTCCTGTGCTGGGTTTATATAGTTGCAGTGAAGCAGGGAGTCCAGGACTGCGCCGAGTTCAGTTCCTACTCTGACACCACTTAGCAGGTCAGTGGGGGGCGGGTTGGCGCTCACTGGTGCTGAAGCCCCCTGTGGACCAGGGTTCAAGACCTGCAGTCCCCAATGGGTGTGGGTCTGGATGCTGGCTTGGGGAGTGCGTGCCTGGGCTGCGGGTCAGCAGCCAGGGATCAGTTCAGCTCACTGTAGAGCCAGGTGCAGTTGGGACCCAGAGCTCAGCTTGGGGGTCACGGGGGTTCACCGGGCTGTGAGTATACCCGCCCCTCCTCCAGCCCACGATCCCATTGCTCCTTGGGGTATGGTTTGGTCACAAGGCCGAGGGAGGGGAAGGGTGGCTGTGCCCTGACGTACAACCCCACGGCAGCCATTCTCATGGGGGCTGAACTCAGAGCAGCTGGGGAGAAGCAGCGACAGTCCTGGCCAGTGGGAGCCCAGCCCAGAGACTTCACTGGCAACTAACCCCCTGCTCTGCAGCTTCCTTTGACAGCTGCTGCTTTGGCACAAAGCCAACCAGGAGCACCTTTGTGAGTGGTGCTGACCCAGGAGGGCAGCGCCCAGGTGCAGAGGGACTGGGAGAGGCTAGTGCAGCTGACTGGAGCTGCTAGCACTGTGGGAACTGCCAAGAGACAATAGAGCGAGCATGAGTAATGGAAGACCCCGGTTCAAGTCCCAGTCCTGCCTGATTCTGAGTGGGAGGGGAAATGTCCACACGGAGAGCATGGTCTTGGGAACCCCAGAATGGAACAGTGCCAGATGTGTGTGTGTGTGTGTGAGAGAGAGATAGCAGGGGTGATGGGTGACAGCTCTGTGTGCGCACAGAAAATGGCTGTCTGTGTAACTTGTGTCTCTGCAGAGGTGCAGGAGTTTGTGCTGGTGCCCCTGCATACACCCCCCAGTGAGGCTGTGGCAGAGATTGACGCCCTCTACGATGTCTACTTAGATGTCATCGACAAGTGGGGAACTGACGTAAGCAGATGTATCTGGGCGCAAACCCAGCGCCTGCCGTGTGAATGAACTCACTGGTTTCCCTCCCCCGCTTGTCTTGTCTGAGGCTGCTGCTGCCTGGATGGGACGTTGGCTGTAGAAGGTCCTGGCTAGTCTATTACTCATGCTGACCCCCCACTTCCAGGGCAGAGCCGCTCTGGCTGCCTGGGCCAGTGCAGGTTACCGGGAACAGCCATGCCCACTTGATGCGGCTGGGCACTGAGCTCTGGAGCTAAACATCAGGGTTCCCCTCTGGGGAAGCAAATCCCCCTTTGTCCATATCCACATGCTGATCTGTGTCAAACAAAGCTGTGGAGCAGAGAGGCCCATCTGCACTGCCCCCAAACCCTTCAGCCCTAGGCCTGTAGGCCTCAGAGCCACACCCCTCCCCATCACACAACCCCTCTGGGACCCTTGTCTTCCCATGGTCGCTGTTTGCTCAGCCCCAGCCCCACTGTAGGCAGAGTGCCCAAGGGTGGGGAGATGCGGGCTCCTTGCCACTCCCCTGCCAGGGTCTCATCACATGGATGGCGAACGAGGATCCCGGACCTGGTTCCAGCTAAATCGATGGGTTCTGCCACTCAGCCTGGACAGCACAGTCCCAGTGTGCCGACGGCTCGAGCAATCAGGAATGGGCTGTAGGCCCATTCACCTGCTGGTGTCGGGCCCAGGGCAGTGGTGACCGAAGCCAGCTGTTCCCTGATGACATTGAGCCAGGGAGGTGCACACAGCACGTCACCCTAGGGGTGGTCTTGGCACCAGAGCCCGGGCACCTGCACTGTGCTGCCTCCCCAGAGCTGCTCTCTCCAGGGCAGGGCTGGGTACATCAGCAGGAGGCATGGGGGCCCTGCCTGTGCTGCCCCTGCTCTGCAGATGAAGTGTCAGCCCCACAGGCTCAGGTCATTGCAGTGCCGGGACCTCACAGTGTACCTGAGCACAAGGAAAGCCTCATGACCCCGGCCCCAGAGAAGACAACCCCGCTGTGCTGAGAAGGAACCAGCAGAACGGCGAGAGGGAGTGACAGACCCCCAGACCACCCTGTGTCAGCTCCTGCCCCTGCCTTAGCCACAAAGACAGCCACAGCCAAGGAGAGCAGTGGTTACCAGCGAGACAGCTCGTGGCACTGGCGGGGCTGCCTGAGACACTCCAGAGCGAAGGGCTCGGGGAGGCTGCCATGTGTGAGGTTCTTGCCTTGCACATGTGCTAGGTGTGGGGGTTGGTCTGGCTGGGTCCCCCCTCACTGACCTGGCACTTCCTTGGCAGAACATCCTTTTCCTGGGAGACTTCAACGCCGACTGCTCCTACGTTGGGCCACAGGATTGGCCTTCCATCCGCCTGCGAACCAGCGACGCCTTCCAGTGGCTCATCCCGGACAGTGCAGACACCACCGTGTCGTACACAGACTGCGCCTACGACCGGTGAGGAGAGCTGCTGTTGCTGATCATCCCTAGTGCCACTACTGTGCCTGTGCCTGGCAGCTGTATGGAGAAGCCAGGGCCGGCTCCAGGCACCAGCTTAGCAAGCAGGTGCTTGGAGCAGCCACTCCGGAGGGGGGCGGCACGTCCAGCTATTCGGCGGCAATTCGGCGGAGGGTCCCTCACTCCCACTCGGAGTGAAGGACCTCCCACCGAAGTGCCGCAGATTGCGATCGCGGCTTTTTTTGTGGGGCTGCTTGGGGCGGCAAAAATCCTGGAGCCGGCCCTGGGAGAAGCCCAGGGCTATATGGCCCGGGGAGGTCTCGGTCAGCCCTTGGGGGTTGGGCCGGTGCTGAGGCAGATGGGCAGTGGGGTGTCAGGGGAGCCTGCGCTGCCACTGCCAAGGCTGTGCCTGTCCCACCAGCCAGTAGCGGGTTTCAGTCCCTGGGGCTGCCGGCCTCTCAGCAATGCAGTCACCTGGCAGGAGGGTACCTCATGAGCGCCACAGTGCCTCAGATATAGGAATAACAGCAGCCCCAAGAGACAGACCAGCGCAGCCAGTGCCAGCCCTGGGGACACCAAATAACAGGGAGGGGATGAAAAGGGACAAGGAGAGGGCTGCAGGTGGGCAGTGCCTTAGCACAGAAGGCCATCACTCGTAGAACCGCATCTGGGAATACTCAGAGACCACCTCAGCTGTGGAAAACCACAGCCTCTGGCACAGACCCCAGAGAGCCTGTCTGTAGTCCAGCCAGGGCACTCATTAACCCTGATTGCCATGTGCAGTGCTGTGAGCGTGCTCCCCACACACCCAGGTGCGATAGGCCGCCCCACTCTCTCAGAAGGTTCTGGCCCTGCATATGACGGTTTCTTGTCAGTTTCACTTCCCCACATTCAGCTGTCACCTGCCTCCACTGAGCGCAGATCCTGCACCAGATGGAGCTGGCTGAGAGCCCAGGGTTGCTCTCGGGGGTCTGGCTGCTGGGGAGAGGGATTTCCCCCCCAGGACTGCACAAACTAAGCCACCCTGTCAGCTCCCCCCAGCACTCTCCCTGGCTCCGCTACTCAGGGAAGCTGGTGAGGAACCCCACCAGCAGCGCTGCCATCGCTGGCCCTGGGCTCCAGCCTGGCTCTGGGGCAGGCGAGGGCATTCCCTGCAGGGTGTGACCCTGAAGCCCAGCTGCCCGAGAAGTGCAGTGTTTAACCCTAGTACCTTGTGGCATGTCACAGGATCGTGGCGAGTGGCTCTGAGCTGCAGCGCTGTATGGTGGCCAGATCTGCCAAGGTCAACAACTTCCAGGAGACTTTCCACCTGCAGCGCGAGGATGTAAGTGAAGCTGACAACCTGCCTGCATGCTCACAGAGCAGCTAGCTGTGAGCAGAGACAATAGCTGCTAGATAGCCAGGAGACAGCGACAGCTGGTCAGGACTGGGGCCAAGCTCAAAGATCACTGCACCGAGCTTTGCAGGGAGTCTCCCAGAGTTAAAGGCTAGTCTAACTCAGCTACACTAAGGCCTGCTCTACAAACAGGTGTTGTCCTGCTATAACTGTGTGGGTTTGGAGTGTGATTTTTTACTGCTGTAGTTACAGAGGCAGGAACTCGTGTGGATGCACATATACCAATATAAAGGGGCTGGATAGCTTATTCCCCTTCCCAGATGGGAAGAGCTATCCCGGGGTAAGCACTTTTAGACCAGTCTAACTCCATCCACACTAGGGGGCAAAAGGGGTACGGCTTGTGGGTGTAGACGAGGCTGGAGACCCTACAGGCCTGATTCTCCATTGTCCTGCACCTTGTGCAGAGCGAGTGCAGGGGCAGGGTAAGAGCGCAGGATCTGCAGGGCAGCCATTCACATGCATTTGACTGTGGCGTCACTGACTGCCCAAAGGGCAGGATGACGGGCCCCAGACATAGTTACATCGCCCCCTGGCCAGGACACAGCATTTCCACCTGGAGGGCCCTGCTGGCTCTATGCTGTACAGCTCGCTCCGCCCCAGCTGGTGGTGGCTAGTGGCCATTTTCTTATGGACATTGTGTATAATCTCCCCACACCTGCAGTTAGCCCCTGCCATTGGTTAAAACCCCAGGCCTGATCCTGCTCTCTCACTGGGGTAACCATTTTTCTTGGCGGACCAGCTGTAAACTGGTATAGCCATAGGCGCCGATTCCGTGGGTGCTCCGGGGCTGGACCACCCATGGAAAAAAAATAGTGGGTGCTCAGCACCCACCAGTCACAGCTGTTTGGCGGTGCCCCCATTCAACTAATCCGGGGCACTGCCAAACAGCTGATGGAGATGCCGTCAAACAGCTGATAGGCGGTGCAGCCAAACAGCTGTTTGGCGGCTGGAGGAGAGCGGAGAGCAGCGAGTGGGGGCCTCGGAGCAGGGGTGGCGTGGGGGCAGGAAGAGGTGAAGTGAAGGCGGGGTCTTGGGGAAAGGGGTGGAATGGGGGCAGGGCTTCGGGGCAGAGCAGGGGTGGGGGACCCCTTGGGAAAAATAAAAGTTAGCACCTCTGGGTGTAGGTGAGAGAGGAGACTCCGGCTGCTCCTTTCACAGCGCTGGGGAATTAGAGGGTGAATTACACTGAGGTCTTGGCTCTCCTCTCGGCAATGCCATCCACTGCAGCTCATGCATCCTGTGCTCTTACCTGATTGGATGCCACCACTCAGGCGTCACGCAGGGGGCTCACTGCACAGAACCATTCAGCCCCTCGGGAGGCCATCTCCCCTGGGGACTGTGGCTGTGTTTTGCATGCGTGTAGGCTGCATAAAGGAGGCAACGCTCTTGGGGGCGCTGTGTAGGCAGTGTGGCTCAGTGGCTAGGGCGCAGGAAGGGGCGTCGAGAGGCCGAGGGCCTGGCAGCCCAGGACCTTCCCCTTGTGTGGTTGGTTAGAGTGGTTGTGTGAAGTGACGGTAACACGCACCAGGCCAGCTCAGGCTAGAAGCATTTTACACAATCTTTGCACTGATCTGAATGACTCCCCAAGGCGCAGGGCAGGAGACGGTTAAACCTTACGCTTGACTTGCATGGCCAAGTCTCCTCACCGCTCCATACCTCAATTTCACCTCTGTAAAGGGCTCTGAGCTCGAGGGAGGAGTTGTTGAGCCTTGGCTCATTCTTGCATTGGCCTCCTGTTCGGCGCGTGCTGCTGGCCTCGATGTCCATGGGATGAGCACAGGCCAGGCTTCCCCTGGTTTGCGCTCACGCTCCTGATGGGAATGCCGCCTGGGAGCTAATCTAAAACCATGCAGGGTGCTCTCCTCCCCAAAGGCAGGGAGCTAACAGGACCCCTGCGTTTGACAACGAGTCACCTTGCATAGGAGGATCTCAGACCACCTCATTAATATTAATTGACTCACCTTGGCAGAGCCCTGTGATAGGGAAGGTCAGCGTTATCCCCATTGTACAGTTGGGGAAACTGAGGCCTGGAGAGGTTGGATGATTTGCCCAAGGCCATGCAATGAATCGGTATCAGGGCATGGAAGAGATCTAGACACATGCTCTGTCCATTAGCCCATTCTGCCTCCTGCTGCACCTGGAATTGCCAGGATCCATGTGACAACAGGAGCCATGACACGAGGTCATGGACAACCTGTAGCTGATGCCTTCTGAGCAGCCCCACAACTTAGGCTCTGTGATTTCTCCCGTTTGTGTCCAGGCTCTTGCCGTCAGTGACCATTTCCCGGTGGAAGTGACTCTGAGGGCTCGCTGAGGCTCACCTGCTCCTGCCTTGCTCCATCCCCTGCTAAGCCAGGAGAAGTAGCTACCAGCAAAGCAACTTCTACCGCATTCATATTCCCTTTGGCTGCTGCTGGCTGCAGCACCAACGCCTTCAGAAGAGCTCCCAAGACTGAACCTCAGCGTCTACGATTATAGCCAAATATCAGCCTCCTGGCATCTACCTGCTGCTCCTGGCACATCCTCATGGCTGGTCACAAACCCATCTCTCTAGGTGCTGCATCGAATGGCCCACCAGTGTCACTTACTGGGTACTTGGATAACTGGCACATTCATGCCATACCATTGGGAGATTCGTTCATGCAATGTAGTTAGTAAGCTTTGAAATCTTTGGTCTCAGGGCATCCTGGAGTGTTATGCTGGGCAACAGGGCTGGGGGGGAGCTGATTTTGTGGCCAATGGGTATGTGCAATTGTCAAGGCTCCTTCCCCTCTCTGAACTTTAGGATACAGATGTGGGGGCCTGCATGAAAACTTCTAAGCTTAACTACCAGCTTAGATCTGGTTCGCTGCCACCACTTCCAATG